CCCCAAAACCCCAAAACCCCAAAACCCCAAATTTTTGATTATAAATTGAATAAGGGAGAAATGGAATTTAGAGAAGAAAGAAATTTGGGTAAAATTGATTTTGGAGTGGGGGTAAGGGGGTTTAGAGTGATTCTTAGGGGTTGGAATTGGATTTTAAGGTATGGGGTGAGTTTTTGGATAAGCAAAAGGATTTTTACTTTTTTGGGGAGGTTTTGTTTGAACAGTATTTTGATGCTGGTAAGATGAGATGTAGAAGACTGCTTTGCTGGATTATATTTTTAAAATTATAAAAGAATCTAATTAACTATTATTACAAATGAAATATTAATCAGAAATTTAGGAACGATATACAGCAGAAAAATTAAACACATATTCCAAAGAGGGTATTTTAAAAACCAGTAAATTCAATTTACTCTAACACATCTCTAGATCAAAAAGAGCTACTTCAAACAACTTTGCTCGTGGTAGAGGTAATGATCTGCCTAGCTCCAGAAGACAGCACACAACCATTAAGATTTCAAATAGTTTTGCAAAATCATATATTTCTAAATAAGAACATTAAGGACATAAAGTCTAAGTTAAATGCAAACCACAGGAGGACTTCCCGAGGGCTGACTGATCTACGATATCAAAGTGTTGGAAGAACACAGAAGAAGGCTTATCCTCCTGATCAACAACATAATGAGTACCGCTCTAGTATGATCAAGTAAGCGTGGAAGATTAGTTGTAGAAAATTTACGGATAAGAGGACTCATATATCGTCAAACTTTCAAAATCCAACTCCACCACCAAAGAAATAGAAGAATCAAAATGACCTTGGCTGGAATGAATAATCTGAGTTTAGAGAAAATCCACCCAAAATTAGGTTTAGAGTCCTCTTGAGGCAGTTCTGACCCATTATCAGCAAATAAGGGCTATGAGTTAGGTAGTGTAATTGGAAGTGTTGTTAGGGAGAAAATTGAGAGGTCAAAGAACTGACTTTTGGAGAGTAAAAAAATTTTGGATGATTTGGAAAAGTCGACTTTGAGTGAGAAGATGTCGGTGTCACCGATAGGGATGGGGTATAAGTAAGTTGTAAGAGAGGGATTAAGTGATAGATGGATTTCATGAACCTTGGATATAAAATTGGGAATTTATGGGGATTTGAAATATGTCATTTTAGAATTTTGTGAATTCTTGAAAATTTAAAACATCTAAGTTCCATCAGAACTCATCATATAGCTTAATACCTCCTCAACAATTTAACAACCCAACCCTCTCCCACAACACTTCAATCCTAAAACCAACCTCTAGCATCCTCAAGCCTCAAAAATCACTCAAAAACCCTTCAAATTTCCGACCCCCAAACATCCCCCAATCCCACCAAAACCCCCTTCCAAACTTCTCCATCTCCAAAAACCTTCAAAAACCTCACTCAAAACTTATAACTCCCATAGCAGAGCACAAAGCTCTGCTATCGAAGCTAGGGAGGGATTCTGGCCGGGAGAGATCGAGGCCGTTGATCATCCTTGGATACAAAGAGACTAGTCTTTTCTCAGTTCCTGCTGAGACTCGAGAGTCTCATGACTTTTAGAGAAGATGTGGATGTGTGCTTCAGCGTTGGAGGGGACTCCCAAGTGCTCTTGTCATAATTTTCAGAATGCAAAATTTTGTTCATCAATTTTCACGCTGTTTTTCAGGCTATTATTTTGGAAAATTTAGCTGGGTTTGGAAAGGATGATCAATTTCATTCGTGTTTTAATTAGTAAAAATTAAACTTTACTCTTTTTCTGGATCTAATTTGTATTTTGAAAATCATGTGGGCTCACCATGGATGAAATTAGTTTAATTCTGAGTGGAATGAGTGAATTTAATGCTCAACATCTCTATTAGAAAGTTTGAGATAAAATTACATAGAGAGGCCCTATCCAAACTATTTTTTTATTAAATTCGATCAACCGAATACCCTTTAGATGGGGTTTTGGGGTTTTGGGGTTTTGGGGTTTTGGGG